GTCACACTCAGGGGAGGTCACTTGCCATGTTCTTGATGTTGTGTGCTGTGCCTTGGTGTTTGGTACACCCCCCGGGCGGTCTGACACCCGCCCCCCCGGCCCCCACCTTCCGACCCCCCGTCTCTGTCGGTGCCTCTGCGTGGTGCGTGCTCCGTCCTACCCAGCACGGTGCCTCCAGCCCTGTCCAAAGACCACAGACATTTGTCTGTTGGGCTACAGCACCCGGGCACAGGGTATCCTGTCCAGCCGGGATCCCTTGTGACCCGGGGATTGCGGGGGCTTGGACAATTTTGGCCCATGTTCAGTGCTGTTGGCCGGGCACTGGGACTGGCGCTGCTGGGTGTGTCCCGTGGCAGGTGTGTCCTGCAGCAGCGCCGTGGTGGGGGAGGCCTTTGTCGTTCACTGCTGCTTGCTGGGGGTGTGCTCTGCTCTTGTTCTCTTTGGCCCGTCGTGGTTGTGGTGGTGGGTTGCCCCGCACTAGCACTGCCGCGACGCTCTGCTCTTAGTCTCTTTGGCCCGAGTTCTGATCGTTTGTCCGAGCAAAAACGACCAGTCCGTGTAGCCGATTGTAGGCTTAGTAGCCTTAGCCTCAGGGTTTAAAGGGTTACTGTAAGGATTAAGGGTTAAGGGTTAAGGGTTAGGGGTTAGGGGTTTCGGGTTTAGGTATTAGGGATTAAGGATTTAGGGTTAGGGTTAAGGGTTTACCCAGGGGGGGTTTAGGGTTTAACCTTAGGGTTTAGGGTATTCATATTAATATTAGGGGTGTATTTGTGTTAGAGGCTAGAGGGAATCAGGAAATCGGGAGGGAAAGGGATTATTAGCACATTTGGGAGTGAATCCGGAAGCGGCCTTGAAACAGGCCATTCAGAAGGAGTGCGTCAACAAGATTGCGCTGATATGGCAACCATCAGCTGTGTGGTTCAGCACGCGAATGGCTCACCAAGCAGCAGCAGCAGCAGGGGCAGCACGAGTTCTACATCACAAGGGTCCACGTATGTGGAATTCCTGTGCTTTGCCCGAGGACAGTCAGCCACCGATTGCGGCTGGCTGCCAGCTGACTTTTGGCCAGAAAAGAATAAAATATCATACCTTGCTGAAACAGTAAGGGCCCAAACCCTGACCCCAGCCCTGAGAACTGGAAGCAGGAAACCTGACAGCCTGCCTAAACCTAATAGGTTAAAAGCTGAAGCCTAAAGGGCCACACGACACCTAAATCAGGCTCGCAGTATTGGCCTCAATGTATAAACTGTCCGACAAACTCGCAGTCTAAAGCCAAAGGTGTCCAAAGCTGAAACCTGTGAGCATAAAACTACCCTTCCCCCAGCCCCAGGCCCACACCCCCTATCGAGCAAACCATGTGATCTTGCTCTTCTCTTCCATGTGTCTGAGTCTGAGGTCATCAATGTGGCGAACGGGTACCCTGATCCCTTGCTGCGTGTTCGTGTTTGTCCGACTTGTGGTCCGAAACCGACAGACAAGCAGAACTGCCCGATCATGGCACACATGGAAGGCATGGTGATAGGCACTCTCAAGAAAGCCCCCTGAAGAAGGCCAAGTCTGAGGTCAGCCCTGATAATGATGGTGAGGGCGAGGGCCCGGCCAGAAAAGAGACCGAAGACGACGACCAAGACAATGAGGACGAGATCCCCGCTGAAGAGGAGGAGGACAATGACATGCCCGAGGCCTGCAGCAGTCATAAACAGTTTGCAAAACACACAGCATGCAGCATGTGACATGCAGCTGTTCCAACAGAAACTGACAGAAACACTGCACTTGTGAGTGAGTCTGAGGCCGGAGGTACCCAGAAGCACTTGCGGAACACGTGGCAGAACGGTATTGCGCCCGATTTCATGATACAGCTATTGAGCATCCTGCCCAACTACATTGAGCTTGTCATCGTTCTCTTCCCACTTCCGTTTGCCACTGGGCTCCTCAAAGGGATCTTGGAGTTCAACCGCATGTTCGGCAAAGTCATGCCGTCCGAAGTGCAATGCCTTATCAAGATGCCGAACAAGCCCATGCCCAATCCTGATGAAGATACAAAAGTGCTCTATGTCGGCAACAGGCACAACTTTGCTCTCAGCATCGATGTGGTCAAGAATGACATAATCGAGTTCGCAAAGAAGGCAGTCACTGACACCCGACCCTCTGCAACAGGGAAGAAGAATGCCTTGAGTCCGAACAAGGCCACAGCTGACAGTGACAACCAAGCCGAGCTTAAGGCTGAGGGTCCTGACGATGTCAGCGACAGTGAGGGCGGGGATGTAGGGCCTGGCACCTCCAGCAACGACAAGGGCGGGAACTTCATCGGCTGTATTGAGGTGGACGACCTTCTTGACTGAACGGACCTTGCCGAAAACTCCCAGGCCGACAGTGATGAGGAGTCGCCCGAGTACCACTCCGAGAGCAAGGTTCGTTCAGTGACATGGTCTTTGAAGCATGTCAACAGTTTGAAAATTTAAGCTTCTGTGGGCTGTGCTTGAGAGTCCGTGTGTCTGATCTGATCTAAGGTGATCTCACGCCGGAGCTTCCTTGCCATGACGAAATTCGGTGTCCGAGTTGCAACGACGCCAAGCACGACAGCATCGCTGGTAGTGGGCGTGGGGCTCATCACGAACAAGCAGTTGAAGAAGGACACGACGATACCACGCAAAGGGCCACTCATCTGACTTTCAGGGTCCATGTCGTGCTGGCTGTTCAATTCAATTCGGTTGTGTGCTCAGAGCCTTGAACAATAAGGGCATGGTTCGAGTCCCTCACAACGGCCACCATCTTTGCGTCCGACTGTGATGCCACGCAGCGCATCGCCCGAGTCCCCCTCGCCGTCAACGACGACGCAAAGTCCGAGAAGTACCTGTGTTGCGTGCTGACTGGGATTGTCGGCTTCGTCAATCACTTCCACAATCTCGCACCAGTCCCCAACGCCAAGATGCCCTCACACACCCTGTCGCCCTGTCGAACAGAGCACTGGTGACACTCTCAGCACCAGTACCCCTGCAGGCACTGGTGGCGTTTGGCCCACAGCGAAAAGTACGAAACACAGATCTGGTTGGAGCCTGGGCTCCGTCGCTTTCGGATGCTGGACTGGAGAGCCCTGTGGCGCCTCATCCATACAGACAAACTTTGGTATGGCCGAAAACAGCCGAGGTCCGAGCCTTTGTTTTTGCCTTCCACACCCTTGGGAGTATTGTCAGCTCTTCCTGCTTGTGTGAGTCAGCAGGCAGCCTGCTGAAGCACTTTGCGCGCGGCAATGCAGATACTAAGCGGTTTGTGGAAAGGGCACTTTTGAAGTTCGCTGGTATTGCTGGAGACGGCACTGATGGTTTAATTCTTTTGAGGGCCTGGCTCGAGACAGTGCCTTCGCCCGAGAAGCTTGTCTTCATGGGCCGGAACATGAAGGCCTACAATAAGAAGGTGGCACAGTTTCCTTTGGGTGAAGGCAGCAAGACACTCCACAACATGAGGAAGGCTGCTGGAAGCAAGAGCGAAAGGAGTGCCCGATGGTCAGCCAGTCGTTTGCGCAGGATTCCGCGGGTGGCTGCGAAAGTCTTGGCCACAAGGCTAAGAGCATCTCTGCATCGCTGGGCCCGAACTGCAAGCCAGAAGGGCAGTCCGAACTTTTCCAGCCTGAAGAGTAGTCCAAACTTTGTGGTGCCTCGAACTCGAGTTCGCAAGAGCAAGGAAAAGTCCGCCGGAAAAGTGTGGGCTACGTCAGACACTTAACCCCAAACTTGATGCCTGAAACCCAGAACCTTAAAACCTTAAAGGTAGGCCTCGAAAGCTGGGGGGCTGGTTACGGCTGGTTGGGGTTTAGGGTTATTAGGGTTTAGGGTTGCAGTTTAGGGTTTAGGGTTTTAGGGTTGCAGGGTGACAGGGTTTAGGGTTTAGTTTAGGGTTTAGTTTAGGGTTTAGCCCAGAACCCTAAGCCCGTCTTAAAAACATCGATTCTTTCCGACCAGCCTCACCCTGTCAGCCAGGTGATCGACCGCATCATGGGCTTTCTTTTCGCAGCTGCAGATGGCAGCGGACGGCAGAGAGCAGAGGGCCGGTTTTGCAAGCCAGAAGGGTAGTCCGAACTTTTCAAGCCAGCAGAGTAGTCTGAACACAAGAGCAAGGAAAAGTGTGGGCTACTCCTGAAGCCCTATGATATGATATGCCCCTTAAACCTAAGTCCGACATACCCTCCTGAGTCTCTGAGCCCCTAGCGCCTTGAAGTTCTCGTTTTCGTCGGCTCAGAGGTTTTTAAGTCAAGTTCATGGGAGGTCAGAGAGGGTCAGAGGAGGTCACTGAGGTGAGGGGGTCCGGGGAGGTCCACCACCAAGGGGCCCAGGAGAGCCCCACCTCAAGTGGGGGGAGGGGGTTGGGTAAGCTTCCTCTGGAGGTCAGACAGCCAGAGAGGAGGTCACTAAGGTGAGGGGGTCCGAGGAGGTCCACCACCAAGGTTGGGTAAGCTACCTCTAAAATGCCGAATCATCTGACATGACATGCGGATTTTGCTTAGCCCTAACCCTTGGGGGGTCCCTTTAAAACAAAGAAAAAAGCCAGGGATGTATCCCTAAAACCATAACTGCTCAACCCTATACTCCCTCTCAAAGAACCCTTTAACAAAAACTAGGCCCTAAAAACCCCAAAACCATATAAATCCCCAAAAAAGTCCCAAAGCCCTAAACCTTACAAGCCGCAGAAAGTCCCAAAAACCCTCCAGATCCTACAGACCTTTCTCCTTATAAACCTTACACCTTATAAGCCCTATAAACCCTACACCTATTAAAACCCCGTGACCTCCCAACCCAAAACCCAAAACCCTAAACCCTAAACCCTAAACCCCTAAACCCCTAAACCCCCAAACCCCTAAACCCCTAAACCCCTAAACCCCTAAACCCCTAAATCCCTAAACCCCTAAATCCCTAAACCCCTAAATCCCTAAACCCCTAAACCCCTAAACCCCTAAACCCTAAACCCCAAAGAGCAAAAGCCCAGAGACCTCGCCTTTGGTCGAGGAGCTGATACGAGTGCTGAAGGCCAACGACGTCGCGGACATCAAGAGCAAGTCCGTGCATGCTCGGCCCGGTCCTCAGGCTTCTTGTTGCTTAAAGTTTAGGGTTTAGGGTTTGGAGTTTTGGAGTTCAGGGTTTGGAGATCAGGGTTTAGGGTTTGGAGTTTGGGGTTTAGGGTTTGAAGTTTGAGTTTATGGTTTAACCATAGTTAGCATTTCGAGTTCAGGGTTTAGGGGTTGAGGGGGCGGGTCAGGAGCCCCCACCTGTTGACCCCAAGAAACCACCAGTTCGTAGGCGACAGCACCCAAGTATACTTGGCGTTTCATGGGTAGTTCCCTAAACCCTAAACCCTAAACCCTAAACCCTAAACCCTAAACCCTAAACCCTAAACCCTAAACCCTAAAGCCTAAACCCTAAACCCTAAACCCTACCATCCCCAAAACTCTAAGCCCCAAGCCCTAAGCACCCCCAGCCTGCCACATGTATATGGGGGGTTTCCGAAATTTCTTATTGGGGGTCCTTACTATCAGGGAAGCCCACTATTTAGGGGGTCTGTTTTAGGGTCCCCTATTTTCGAAATACTTGTGTGTGTGTTTGTACATATATATATATATTTATATACATATGGACGTCTTGCCACTCTTCGCATCAAAAAATCAAAAGGGGCACAGTTCTAACATCAGGATTTGAGCGTTAAGGGGCTCCCGGGCCCAAGTTTAGCTTTACGAGTTGAGAGCTTATGGACTTAGGGGTTTGCGGGCTCAGGATTTGTCCCGCTGCTTTTGAACCCCCCCTGCCTCTTTGCGGAGGGCTTCGGGATTAAGGCCGTTTAGGGTTTAGGGCCGTTTAGGGTTTAGGGTTTAGCGTTTAGGGTTTAGGGTTTAGGGTTTAGGGTTTGGGGTTTGGGGTTTGGGGTTTGGGGCTTCAGGAGGACCCCGGGCCCCTCCGGCCAGGCCGATGATGCGCCTGATGATGCACGAGCACGCGAAAGTGCTCAAGTTCATCCTCGGGACGCACGGGCTTGAATTTGCCTCTATAGGGCTTAGGGTTTTGGGTTTAGGGTTTTGGGGTTAGGGGTTAGGGGTTAGGGTTTAGGGTTTAGGGTTTAGGGTTTAGGGTTTAGGGCTAGGGTTTAGGGTTTAGGGGTTTTCAGGGTTCAGGGTAAGCTTCGCCTTGCAGATTTGTTGCTTGGGGTTTAGGGTTTAGGGTTTAGGGTTTAAGGTTTAGGGTTTAGGGTTTAGGGCAATCCCCCCCAAGCCCTAAACAAAAGTGACCCAGCTGCCCCCCAGGAAAGCCTGCAAAGGCAGCAAGAAAGCATGGGCCAAGTTCGAAAGCGGGGGCCTCGGCTTGGCTTCAGAGCTAAGGGGTCGTAGGGTCTTAGGGTTGTTTAGGGTTGTTTAGGGTTGTTTAGGGTTGTTTAGGGTTGTTTAGGGTTGTTTGGGGTTGTTTAGGGTCGTAGGGTTGTAGGGTTGTTTAGGGTTGTAGGGTTGCAGGGTTGTATAGGGTTGTATAGGGTTGTTTAGGGTTTTTGGGTTGTAGGGTTGTAGGGTTGTTTTGGCTAACGCCCTACCAACTGACCCGCGGGTTTTGCTTGTTTTCAGGTCTTTTGGAGTTGTTGCCATGTGTCTTCAGGTCTTTTCGCGTTGTTGCCGCATGTCTTCCGGCGTTTCTTTCGAGTTCGTGCCAGATGGGTGGGGGGGGGGGGGTGGTTCCGTCCAGTTTGCCCAGACATCAGCACTGGCAGGCTTTTCTGCTCAACGTAGCTCAACGTAGTGTTAAGCCATGAAGCCCTAAACCCGAAACCCTGAACCCTCGAACCCTAAACCCTAAACCCTCGACCCTAAACCCTAAACCCTACACCCCAGGCCCTCAACCCTAAACCCGAAGCAGTGCAAGCCCAAACGTGTCATGCACCCTCAATCCTCAACCCAAAGCACCAAGCAGTGTAAGCCAGAAGTGTCATGCACCCTCAATCCTCAAACCAAAGTCCGAAGCAGTGCAAGACCAGAAGTGCCCTGCACTCTGAGCTTTCTACAAAACACCGAAACGCTAGCACCGCTCGAGAAAAATTACATTTTTCAATCGACAACACTATGACGTTTTCAAGGAACCACATACGAATACCATTTTTCTCCTCTCTCAAAAGGATTCCCCAGAACAGACCTTGTCGGACCCAGCTGCGCGTTTTTCCGAGGAAAAAATACCATTCTGCCCTGTCCTTCCCCACACGCCCCCCCTCAAAAAAAACAACTAAGCCCCGGAAGCTCCGGACACACTACTTTAACTTAACAAATAACAAAACCCATTTTATCCGCAAACCCGTGAAGACCTATTTACGCGCGACCGTGACATGTAACACCAAAACGTGCTTTTCGCCTGGGAAAAACCACTAAACAAAGGCTTCCCACAACCGCAAACTGGACAAAACATTCGCTCCAAACGTTCGGACGGTGCGCGACATTGGCCCCTGCCATCGAAACAATGTCATGCAGAAATCGTGCTTTTGCCTCGACAAAACTAACAAAACAACCCAAAAAACCAGCCTGCTACGGCGCGGGTCGTTTCGCGGGGCGTTACCTTGTTTTGGGTTTGGGGTTGTAGGGTTGTAGGGTTTAGAGTTTAGGGCTTAGGGTCTAGGGTTCAGGGTTTAGGAGTTAGGGTTTAGGGTTTAGGGTGTAGGGAGGTCCAAGGACGAAGGGTTCAGAGCTTTAGACGTAAGGTTATATCGCTAAGCCCCAAACCAGGGCTGCTGACAAGTAGGAGCCTGCAAGGCCGCATTGGAGAGAGAGAGAGAGAGAAAGGACGAGAGCGAAAAAGAGAGAGATAGAGAGAGATTTGGTTCCCTGTAGATGGACCTTGTTTTGGGTCTGTCAGGTTCGGGTTCTATGGTTTTAGGGTTGAGGCACTTGTGGGTTGTGGGCTTCGGGGAGGGGGAGGGAGGTTGGGGTGTTTGAGGGGCACAGAAGTGTGACAGCCAGAACTAAACAAAACCTTACTTGGAGGTTCATGTGTACTTGCAACCCCAATTATAACTCTACTTATAACCTACTTACGGGACTTAGGGGGCTTAGAAGTACAGTTGCAATTGGGTTATAAGTGCCCGTGAAGCTCCAAGTATCTGGGGGTACTTACAACCCTGACAACTTCATCTCTACATCTAAACACCCCAATCCCTCGGCACCTGAACCATCCGGAGACCTTCGGGTATGCGCCCGAACACTCAAGTTAAGCCTCGAGTCTTAACTTAAAGTCCTGATGCCCTAAAGCCCTACAGTTTGCCTTTGGGGTTGAGGGTTTGGAGTAGTACCCTTAAGAATACAGCCTCAACCTAAAGCTTGACACCCTGAAGACCACACCCTCAGCCCCAAGCCCCAAACCGTTTTAACCCAAGCCCTAAGCCTCAAGCCATTTTAACCCCAAACCATTTAACCCCAAACCCTAAGCCTCAAACCATTTGAACCCCAAACCCAGGGCAGGACTTGAATGGCCTGACCATCGTGCATCACGTCGCCAGCCAGGGGCTCCTGCGTGTGATTAGGGTTTAGGGTTGAGGGTTTAGGGTTTAGGGTTTAGGGTTTAGGGCTTAGGGTTTAGGGTTTAAGGGGGATTTGGGGTTCAGGCTTTGCATGCTTCACGGTTGAGGCTTTCGGGTGTTGGTTCACTTCCTGGGTAGAAGCAGGACAACTGTGGCGAAAGCTACATCGAATCGTATTTGTATTACTTGTACTGCATCCGAATTCAAAAAAATCTACAACCGAAACCCCCACACCCCAAAACCCTAAAGCCTAACCCTGAACCCTAGGTTCTTGGGGCTCCTAAATCTAAGGAGTCGGGGACCGTTGTAGTGGCAGCGCCCTCAGTAAGTCCTTGCCAGGATAACAGGCCCTAGACACCTTCCTTCAAAGACTAAACCGTAAACCCTAAACCCTAGACCCCATGAGACTTTGTGTTCCTGCAAAGGCCCCGGAGTACCAGGTCTTATCGTGAAGCGAGCTTCGGGGACTGTGCGTCGTTTCCCCCCCCAAACCCCTGGAGCCGCCAGGGCCTTGATTCGCAAGACCAAATGCCAATAGAGTTTAGGGTTTAGGGTTTAGGGTTTAGGGTTTAGGGTTTATAAGCTCCAAGCCCTGCAAAGCTACAAACCCGAACCTCCAGCCTGGAATCGAGCCACCCGGGACCCAGGAACAC